CTACTTGGCTCTAGAGCAATTATGGGATTAAGTGGCCTCGTGCCCCCGTCGAAACACGTACTCAGTACACCCTGGCTCATACCAACTTTTTTCCTCCCTTTTTATATTTTTTTTTTCATCATCCCCCGTGTGCGCCATGAGGTGGAAGTTAGAAGGGCGGATATCCGAGGTCTTGGCTCTTTATAAGGGTCAAATGGCAAAGGGCGGATTTAAATGCGTCCCCGATGCCTGCATTTATTATTAATTTATGGACTCGTAAGTCTTTTTTGTGACAAATATTTCTTTATTTATTTTAATCAATCGCTGGTATCTCCATATTGAAAAAAATCTTGGATTTTTTTAATCAGAAAGTTCTGTTCTTTATTATTTTTAACGAATTGGAATTTTTCTCTTTTTTTTTAAGCTGAGGGTTGAAGATTTTATTTGATTTATTTAAATTTACTTGTCAAGTCGCGCATTTAATTCAATTGAATCCCGAATTGAGGACTGAGGACTTGGAGCGATTGCAGTCGGGATTTAATCGATTGTCGATTTTAATTGTGGTATCGATCTGATAATTCAAATTTTATTGGTCCTGGAGGTGAATTGCGAAAAATGAAATAAAAAAATTTGAAAATTTCTTTCATGTTGACACATCGAGATTTGTTTACTATCGATACGCGATTTTATTCGATTTTATTTTATTCAGTTTCCACCGGATGCGTCAGGAAACAACCATTTGAATTTGGAATTTTTTTTTTTATCGTTTTAGTTTTTTTTTCGGTGAATGCACCGGTTGAATGCTGTGGGTCATCACAGCTGTGCGTTCGGAAAATGGAAGAGTTCATATGCGCGTGTAGAATGGTAATTGGCAATTACCGAGTGTTACCAAAATTACGGCAATTTTCCCGGTGACGTTTACGGGTTTTTTTTTTTTCACGCTTTGAAGGGGACAGACGGTTTTTCAGTTCAAATACTCTTTTATTTTTTTTCGGACAATTTTTTGTTGCACTTTATTCAAGTCAATCAGCTTTTTTACAATCAGCATTCAAAAAACAACAATTCCAACACGACAATTTTTCCTGAATCCCATATTTCCCGAAATTTTCCCGAAAATTTAGTTTTCCTCGACTTTTCCATAGACTTCAGAAATAAGAATAAAATGAAAATAGAAAAATTATTTGCGTTCTAAATAATCAAATTCTCATTTTTTTAATATCAACTTTTATTTTAAACTGATTAATTAATAAATAAAAAATCAATGATGATGAAAAAAAAAAAATTCAATTTCCTTGAATTTCAAGATAAATGATAAATTTTCATTTGTTTTCTAACTAATTAATTCCGGAGAGAATCCGAGCGTAAAATAATTAGTGAACGCCTACATATGTTCAGTCGCTGAGATAAAAATTAATCAAGTGCTCCCCGTGCATATAATAACCCCAGTATATTTGTTCAATTATAACTTGAATGTTTAAAAATGAATGGATAAAGCTGTAGTCAGCTGACATTGTTAATGGAAGGTGGTAAGGAGTGGAGTTCTTGTAAACACGAATAGAACGCGAAGAAGTTTATCCCCGTGATGCGCTTCGAGGCTCGATGTTATTCACGAATAGAGGGAAATAGTCGGGGGTTGAAATTGTTGGTATACAAGGGGTGGCTTGTGTGTACATTGTACGAGCAAGCATTTGGGGATCTACGGGGCGTGCCCTCTCCCATCCCCATTTCAACCCTCCAACCCGGGGGTTGGTTATGTGTCCATGAAACGCGCGCATTGCCTGCGTTACTGTGTAATGAGCGTTGTTTGGCATTTTGGGGGATTGGAAAAAAAAATATATTCAAATTCAATCATCCGGTGGTAATGGCTCCAAACCACGGGAAATCTTTGAAATTCTCGGTATTTCCATCGATGCAAATTGCATTCGCCATTCGCCCACCGAAAGCCAATGCTCGACCGAAAACTCAAATCAATCTATTGTATTCTATTCTCGCAATTACTCATTTATTTTAATTAATCGTGTAATGTGATGACAGAATTACGCAATTGGAGGAAAAATATTGAACATTGTTGATCAATTTTCTTTTGAATCAAGATTCAATGGGAGTCAATGGAAATTTAAAAATTTCTCGTCATTTTTTTCTGGAATACTCAAGTTACTTAAGTCCAAACAAATTAATTTTATTACATTAATTTTATCCGAGTGATTCATTCTGGAATTCCGCCCTCCCCAAACCGTCGATTCATTAAATAATCGAGTCATTCTATCGCACGAATTCCCCATTAGTAAGTTATCCACCAGCTGAAATAAGTAAAAATAAAATAAAACATAGTATTCAACCAAAGCCCCCGGTCTGTTCATGAATTCATTTGAATTAAACATGAAAAATTTCCTTTCAGAATGGAAATGTTAACTTCAACAATTGAAATTGTGTCTCTCTCTTTCTCACCCCGGTTAAAATACACAAAAAAAAATAATAATAAATGTTACAAGAATTCTCTCAGATATGACGGCTTCAAAGGGGGAAGTGAATTGCAATTATTTTCCCAGAAAGTTGAAACGAAATGAAACCCTCGCATTTTCACCCCCTGTTTTCCAGTACTTGCGTCGAAAGTTTTTCCTTAAAGTTTTCACTGCCTTTTTTACTCACCCCTCGACGGAGACGACTCCATGGGGTGAATTTTCCTTTTCTTCTCGCACTTCGTATATATACAGGGTATGTTTATACCCTATATACCTTTCTATCCTGTGTTCTAGATCAAAAACCGTAAACTCGAGTTTTCTTCGGTATCTCCATACGTTGCGTTTAACACGCCTCGGAGGATTTTCACTGTTTGTATGCATACGATATTTTTTTTATTCGCGAGGAGAATAATAAAATGGAAGATTTCGAATTGACGGAGTTTAGAGTCTGAATATTTTTCACCATTTACATATTCATTTTATATCTCGCCATAATAAATATTCGAGACCTCTTGTAAATTCAATTTCCATCATTTTAATCGAAAATTGTTATAAACATTCTCACGAATAATTATAAATTGTCTCGAGGGATTATGCGCATCCTCTAAAATCACCAGAACTACCCCTACAATTTTTCCCAATTGTTTTCAATTTAATCTGTTATTCAAATAAATAAATAAAAATCTATTTCGATTTACCGAGTTTTTCTCATGCGATAATTTAATGCATTCGGTCTGAACGCGAGTTTTCAACGATAAAAGGTGTGCATATGTTCACCCGAACTCGGGACTAATTACCCCGGCCCTTCCCCCCTCTTTTTTCAGCTCTAGCCCCCGGAAGTAAATGGGGGAGGTCAAAAGATACATACCCACCCCTCGACACACACGTACTCACACATTAAATGTGAATACAACGAATTTAAATCAACGGGGAAATTTCATACCCTCGTACACCCACGAATTCAATGTAGTTAGCGCACCCCGAACACATGACCACGAATTAATGAACGTATTCTTTTAATAATTAATTCACAGTTTTTTTTTTTTCTATTTTTCTGTCGGTATCGATAACGCTTCAACGGCAATTATCCGAGGTATATTTCGTTGGCACTGAGTTTTTTAAAGTGGTGACATTTAGGGGT